AGGTTAGATGTTCACGGGTCAAACGCATGCCACGTCGTTCGCACTGTGGCGTGTCCTGGCAAAATAGGTAGGGCGAGTGCGTAGCGTGGGCGTGCCCAAGCCGTAACCGACAAAAAGCAGCCTCCTAAAGTTCTTAATGACTATGAGACAGTTCCAACTCGCCACTCAGTTGGATAATGCTCTTAAATGAGCGACCTATTTCGTCAAATCATGTTGCCACATTGCATGAATGTGCTTAGTAACAACTGGTTTCAGGTCACCCACCGGTAGATTGATGGGAAGAGGGCGCTCCCGACATTGATAATGGCGAACAAAGCAACGCTCATCACATTGCCCTGAGGAATGTCGTTCTCTTTTTCGAAATGGTCCGATAAAGCGCTGCCGACTCGAAACCGAAAGTATCTCCGCTCCAGAAAGTGCTTAACATAAGCAGCCCTGTGGCCACTTATACCACACGCCTTGACCTTTGAGAGTATGTCTGGCGCCCTGATGTATCGTATGCTTCCTCAATGGCAAATATCACTGCTGCGTTGAATCGTTTTTGTCCAAATGGTTGTCGGATAGCGGTGACCAAAATCGCCAAATGGTCCATTATGTTTCGATTTTTTCGAAAATCACACTGGATATTCGAAAGATACCCATGCGTTTAAAGGAAAAAATAAATCTAGCATTCACTTTTTTCCAAAAGTTTTGCATAATGCTATTAGAAAGATGTGACGAAAAAACAAAGAATCGGAAGAACCTTTCCCCACCCTCACTATTGTGGATTACTGCTATGTTTCGAGAACATCATCCCTCATCCAGATAGAGTTGAAAAGTTGAAGCAAAGCCTTTCTGCAATTCGTGTCCAACCGAACCAGTGTGTAGTTTGAATTTCGTCACGTCCAGGAAAAAAACACTTTTTTTTCGTTTAAGAGCTCAGCGTAACTCTATCACAGTAAAAGCAGTGTTCTACACTTCGTAACTGGCGTCAGGCTATTCGGAGCTGCTCGGAACCGACTAACACTCCCACGCATGGCGGATAACCTTAGGGGTAGCCATCCCCAGTTCGCATTGCTCGGCTAGTGTCAAGCCTATTTCGTTTTCCAATTCCTGTAACTTTGACAGAATACTGCCTGCAACAGAACATTCAGCACTGGGACTGCATTCAGGACAAACTTTCCAGACATACGCTTCATCCGCGGTCCTACTGCGAAAGACGTTGGGCGGTTCAGACTACTGGCGTACTCGCCCCGCCAAGAACGCTTCACCTCGCGTTTCGTGCGCTTCACGATCGCTCTGGCCCATCTGAATGCAGTGAGGTTTTCTGTCGTGGCTGAAGAAGCAACAACTTGAAATGCGCGTTTTCTGCTAAAAATGTTTTTTACAGGCAGTAGACCACCAAGGAACTGGCCTCTACCTGGTTTAGATGATGTCATGAGAGTGCAGGCTCGCGCCGAAGCTAAGACAGAAGTCGTCACGTGTGGGGTAAGAGTGAATGAATCGTCACCTTTCACAGGCTCAATCGCAAACTTCCATACCCCGGTGAAGTGGTGTCAATCAGCTTTTTTAACGTTCCAACAATGCGCTTGCCGTCCTGGGTGTGCCGTATTCACCTCGAGCAAGATGGGAAAGTAATTGCGTCACCAAGTACTGGCTTCTACGGCCCAAAACAGCCGAGGCACCAATGCAGGTGAGCAAAGACAAAAATGTATCGCCTAAGTGCTATCTAATGGCAGAGATACGTCGGTGTTATGACCAGAGTCCGTCAAGCAGACTCCGTGTCCGCGTTAACGCAGAGGCTATTCTGTGCCGATGGACGTTTCAGATGTTGACCTCGGCGGCTTATGCGACTGCATCCCTGAGCTGAATGATGGGAGTTGAAATCTTATAGCATCAGGAATAGAGACAGAAGCTGGCCAAAAACCGACTAAAGTGCAGAGTAAGGAGCTTCCTCAGACGGAAGAAGGTACATGCAGTATGCAGCCAACTTCAAATGCCCAAGATCAGCTCAACAGAAACAGCCTGCAGGTCACAGGTGTACACTTGCATCTGTACATGTGTACAGGTGTACAAGTCCAAGAGATATACATGGAATACTGTCGTGCCCTAAAATCGTAACCGCACTGTTGCCTATAGTGGCGCTTGTGACATCTTCGCGACATCCCGTAGCCTTTTAGTTTTACCGACTTGCTCGGAAAGACCTCGGTCTCTTGAATGCATGCGACAACTGGGTGTCTCATGCATAAAAGTATTTGGTGGTCTGACATATTCGTCCTCAGCCACGCAAGTTTTACCTGTTAAATTCGGCGGCGTGCTACGACGCTTATGCGTGGAGTAAGCGGCTAAAACCCATTGCCAAAAATCCTCCACGTGATGATCGGCACGGGTTCTGACACCAAACAAGTCCCTGTGGCGCCGTTCGGCTTCGGTGGAGCCCAAGCGAGCCCTGGGATGGACCTCGGGTCTTCCACCATCGGTGGATAACGTGGGCCAGTGAGGAGCGCGCTTGCTGGCGTGACCCGCGGCCGAGGACTCGGGCGGGATGAGGGGGGGGGGGGGGGGGGCTAGGCGCGCCCCCGTCACCAAGTGGGGAAGTGGGAGGTGGACCCATCGGCCTCCCGTAAAGTGGAGCGGGGTTGACAGCAAGACCCAGTCCCCAGCACACCGCGTAGATGTTGACCGGGCGGCGCGCCCTGTGGTCTCCAGATCGATAGACTCGGGACGGGCACCGGCCCTAAGGGGACGACTCCTGGAAGGAAAAACCACCTGGGGATGTCAGGAGCCATGTTAAGCCTCCTGCACGCCGGATGGACCAGCGGCCACAGGAGGCCCACTAGAAGATGAGGGTCCCCGGGACCCCGTTTCTTGCGGGACTGTGGTTCCAACGGAACAGTTTTGGGCACGACTGAAACCGGGGGTGGGGACGGTGCGCAGCAAGACGCGTTCCTAGCAATGGCCGAGCTGGGGCGCGCCGGGAAACCGCGGGAGCCACGGCTCCGCTGGACCACCGTCTATCCCCGTTCCCAGGTCGCGACGTACTTCGGGGTTCACTTCCTGCTCCCACAGAGGGCTTTGCACCCTGGAGCTGGGCTCCGTGCGAGCGACTGCTGTTCCAGTAGAGTCTTTCCTTGGCGGATGAGGCTTCCTACCTGATTGAGCAGCAGTACCAGATGACGCGAGTGTGATTACTATCAGCTGCATAAACTCACCCACCGTCATGAATTTAAATTCATTTTACGTACACGGTTGCAGAGCATCGATTACTTTGATTACCTGAAGTACATTCCCCGTTGATTTCGCCGAGGCGTTCTTGTATGACCCCGACTTGGTCGCTTCTTTGTGTCGAACCTGGGCCTCCCGAATTGACACGCATTTCCTTGTCTTAGTGCTTAAAACGGCTTTTTAATACAGAAAAGACTGACAACCTCGGTAAGATGTTGTATGACCCTGATCGCAATTTGCGTACTTTACCGACACTGCCATGCACTCAGAGTGTTCATGGCCTATCTCCGCACATCCTCCAAACCCGTGGATCCTATCAAGATACACAAGTTGCTACTTATGTGGATCCGTACCCAATGTGGATCCTATTAGGAACGGTCGGGGATCGAAGGGTCAAAAAGACGGAGCCGATGTCGACGAGAGCTCCGCTGTCCCTCCTCTCAACGCGCCCCACCGCCGGCACGCCACTCTCACACAAACCCTCCAGAATGGCCTCCTTACAAACACCGCGGAAATCACGACAAACGATGGCGCTCTTGACATAACTCTTAGTACGGTGTGGACGCACCGGAATAAGCGTCCCCACCTCACCCTGCCCACGCACTCTGTAGGTCAACTCAGCCGTGTTGAGCATGCGTTTTATGTCGCAAACGTCAGTGAAATGCAACTCGATAGGGTGCATTTCATGATAATATACCTTATGTCCGGGTCCGGGTATGATAATATATCTTCGGCATTCCATATCTTTGAGAGAGAAGAAACACCCTCTCCGCGTACATTAATGGATTCTAGGGCTGGGAGGAGCGCCGTGTCGCTCATGCCTACACTAGCCAGACGGATCTCATATTTTGTGCAGCTTTAATAGTTTGAGGGAAGCTTTGAATGTTTTTTCCCCACCCTCTGAGTGCAAACATATTTTATACCCACCCTAATCTGTATATCGTACGCTAGTTAGCAACATCTTTGCATTAGTTTTGGTCTGGACGTTGAAATACAGCGACCTAAGACCGGGAAGGAATTAAAGTTCGGAGATAGGTGAGGTGAATCCATATTTGGGATCAGTCCGGTCGCTGGAAGCTCGCCCTCATTAAAAATCCGTTAAAAGGGGTCGGTTCTCACCTCCTGGGCATCTCAAGCTTTCTCCACAGGCCCGTGCGCTCGCCCGCCTGTGCGGTGTGCTGTGTAAGAAATCTCGCGCCTGCGCGTTGTGCTCTGTAAGCGCTCGTCCATATGCGCGGTGTGCTGTGTAAGCGCTCTCCTGCCTGTGTGGTGTGCTGTGTAAGCGCTCTCCTGCCTGTGTGGTGTGCTGTGTAAGCGCTCTCCTGCCTGTGTGACGTGCTGTGTAAGCGCTCTCCCGCCTGTGTGGTGTGCTGTGTAAGCGCTCGCCCGCCTGTGCAGTGAGCTGTATAAGTGCTCGTCCGCCTGCGCGGTGTGTGCCTTGTAAGGGTTCGTCCGCCTGTGCGGCGTGTTCTGTAAGCGCACGTCAGCTTGTGCGGCGTGGTGTGTTAGAGCTCACCCGCCTCGTGGGCGAACGGTGAAAGATTAGCTGGGATGATGGCCCTTCACATTTGCTTCGGGCTCCCAGACCACATCCCCGAAACGTTTAAATTTACTTTCATGATTAAGGAATTTGAAAGCTGCTACCGGATGTGTGGTACATGCCGAGGGTTTTGGTATCTGGCCCATCCAAACACAAATTCTTATATTTTTCGGTGCGCCGAAGCGCTCAAGTGCGTCTTTTTGTTGTTGTGTTGTGTATGCAGAGAAAGCATACGCACCAATTGATCACATGCCAGTTCAGCGTTGCGTATTTTTATTGACTTTCTTAAAAATGGCAGTACTTGTGCTCTTATCCTAGCGATGACAAAACATTATGGCACACTCCACTCCCTGAGTGGAATCCTAACAATGCCTTAACTTACAAGGATGCATTATGCCTACCTAAGGCTGGTCTGCAGCCCAGACCTCAACTATCGCCGAGCACTGCACCCGCCGCACCCCGCGTGGCGCGTGGCGGCCTGCGCGCTGGGCGCAGCGCCGCCACCCACCGCCGCCTCGTGTCCCAGTGCACAGCCGACCGTGATGTGTTCTGCAGCGCCACCTGCGGCGCCTCCGTTCCCCGGGGCGGTTCGGCCCGGACCGGCGCCGCTCACTTCACGCAGAGCGGTCCCACCTCGAACCCAAACGCCTGGCTTGGCACGCCGTAGTCGACCGGGAGGAAGTCCTCAATCGGCAACTGGCGCAAGTCGGTCGAAGTCAGCTCCAGCACGGTGCGGCTGGAGCCGCGCTTCCACTGCAACGGAGAGGCCGGGCCTCAGATGGGGGGCAACCGAGGCCTTAGGTGGGGCACAGCCGGAGCCTCAGGTGTGGCGCAGCCGGGCCTCAGGTGGGGCTCAGCCGGGGTCTCACGTGAGGTGTAACCGGGGTCTCAGTTTGGGGCCCAGTCGTAGCCTTATATCTAGTCTCGATAACAACAATCAAGCCGATGCGGCACAGGCAAAGGGGACTTCTCCAAACTGTACCAACTGGTATCAAACAATAACTCGACAGAACAAAGCGAGCCATTGCCATATGATATAGCACAGCTTGGACCGGAATACCAACCAATACCGTGATGCAACAAACCAACGGTATAAGGACGCATATAACACTAAGTAACAAAGGCGCTACCATACACACCCTGCACCCATCCTCCGCCACGCTAATACTTCTTGAGTTTCTCGACTTGCTGAAGATCGCCCCGGACGATCCCAAGAACTGAACACTTTTGTCGTGGTTTTTCGTGTTCGCGTCGTACCTGGATAGCAAGCACTGATTAGACGAATTGCACGTGTATCATGAAATCTAGCTATGTCTTTTGGGGACGTACATATTTATACGAGTTATAAGTGCTTAAAATTACGTGGCATATTGCGCTGTTGTGATTTGGCACGTTTAAATTTCTTCATGATCTCTGTTAGCTTTTTCAAAATTAAGCGGCAATCAGTGCAGTAACAATACGTGCATGAATATATATATATATATATATATATATATATATAAGATGCTTTCACCAACAAAAGTTCGCTTTCCATTTTGATCGCATTATTCTGCATGAAAGACAGCTAATGATTCACACTTTCCATGCGTGTATTTTCGTCGTGTGGCACATGTTTATTCCAGACAGTTATATCAATAGGTACATCCGGAAGCAGTCTTCAGTAGGCACAGGCCGAAGCAACTCTCACCAAGCGGCCGAGTTAACACAGGTGTAGGTGAAGTTTTGACGGCCTTGCTCCGATAGCAACCGCAGGAATGTCATCTGCACGGGGCCTATCGACTCGTACGTCATCTGCGAGCATATGGTCAGCATGCTGCGAATCCAATGACACGTCGGACAACAAAAGCTATCAACCACGGAGTACCTTGTTGATAGCTGGTGCTGCTAAACTATCATGCACGCATAGCTGTAGCAGCCACCAGCAATAGGTGTTATCCCTAGGCATGGACATTTTTGCTCCCCGTCATATTGGGACAAACTGAAATGTTGCACACACAGTTCATTTTTCCGAGCGCAGTTAGCGGTGTCAAACTTCAAGGAGCGTCAGCCGCCGCGATGGCAACAACGACGGGAGAGAGAAACTGAAAACCAACTGTATCAAATATATTGTAGCAATCTGGAGAATAGATGGCAGTTTATCTCACCTTGAAGCCGCCCCGAAGGGTCGAGAACCAGTGGGCCTGTTCAGAAGTCTTACGCCATGGAATGTTGGTTATCTTGCTGGTGTGGGCGTCTGGATAGACGCATGTTTCACCCGAACTCGTGATGTTGCAGAAGACAAATATGGCATCATCCGGCATTCCCAAGTTGGGATCAATCCAGTACCAGCCTGAAAGTTGCGGCGTGATTTTCGCATCATTTGTGCGTGATTTTCACATTGTCACATTTCATGCCGATACGGCTGCCGCTCTCACCGCTTTTGCACGTTTTGCACGTTCACCGCAAGCAACCGCAAGAATGCGCAGTTACACCAAGCTTAAACTCTCTCACAAGTGATAAAATACGTCAGCACAACTTCATTGTGTTGGAATGTTCCGTGAAATGCATTCGGCGTCTGAACTGGTGTACGACATACCATCGCCGAACTGTGGATGACCGTAGAACAGGTCCCGGCATGTTCGCACTGGGTTATCCCGAGTGCCGATCGGCTTTTTGATCCTCTCTAGGTCTTGGCGCATGGCATATATACTGCTGTACATGTCGAGCAGCTTGGAGGAGAACTGGCTGTTGTCTTTCGTCACCACCCCTTCCGCTCTGTGGGCGGTATGTTCGGACATATTGACATGCATACCACGGGCATTATCTGATAATACTCAATGATCAAGGTTTCTCACTCTTCACCCGTTTCACAAAGAAGTTTGTCCTACGTGCAACCACGATGAAAACTTGACTTTGTCACACACGCGGAATCGTTCACCATGTCATTGCTAGAGTCACCGTGGGAGCGGAACTTTAAGAAAATCAAGGTGGAGCAAAGGAACCTGTTTTCCGAGAACAAAGACTTGTCACTCACAATGACACACAATTGCTTGTTTTTGTTGATCTGTGTGTGCTGGAGAAGGGCGTTACTTTTTGTAGATGATTGGGAGGGAGAGGGCAGCTGAGGTCCCAAAGGTCTACTCGCCTCTTTTCTAAAACTGACCTAACACACTTTATTTTAACGAAGATTAATTTCTATGTTAATTTTTTATCTTTAAAAAAAGTATAATTTGTGCAGCATGCTTGTCATGCAGGAGCGGATCTATAATCAACAGAGGGGACTGGAGACACATGATCCTTCTCATCGGAAAGTAAAGATGCCCTTCTAAAGACCGCCCTAGCGCCGTAGAGACCGCCGCGCTTAGCCGAAGGCAATTTTCTATGGCGGCGACGGACGGCGGCAATGTTTTTTTGTTTTTGTTTTTGGTTGTGGAGACGGGACGGGGTTAGTTATGAAGGACTTAGGTCATTCCGGTGCTGCAGAACTTTTCAGTCTAAGTGTATTCGTATACGACTGGTTAAAGGTCAGTCGGCCATTGACCTGATAGAGTCAGCCTGGCTAAAGGCCGGCCGACAAATGCGGAGTCGCATGGCACGTTAAAGGTCCTTTCGTGCTACTTGGATAACTGACCGAGGCAAAATGGATCCGTTGAACATGCGTTATGGTAACCGGACTGAGTGCTAGTAATAAATCATGTTCAGCACAAAATCGACTCAGAAATCGGTCGCAACAAACATTTTGTTTTCCGTACTGTCTCTTATTTTGTAGCTGAACTGAACCTGTGATATAAACCAACAACGTTGCGCTCCCCACCCAAAGGAAGCTTCCCGCTTTCGTTTCGTCATAAGACCTTGCAAGAAATCATTTGGGCCTAACCTTCAAGTAAAGCAATGCTAGTTTTGCTGGCCCCCATGAGAAGAGGACAAAATGTCACTTAACATCAGTCTCCGCGAGATGAGTTTATCAGTGGCGCTAATGCCATGTTCAGACTGTAGGGAGAACGAGCGTCCGGGCTTACGTTTGCCGGTCAAAAAAAGGAAGGAGAAAATCAAATATAAAGTGTGTTGACCCCGATGTCCGATATTACTGCTCACTTGAGGAAATAATTTTGAAGCTGTGGGGTCAAGTTATCCCGCTGCACCCTCCATGTCGACGTCACTGCAAGGATGGCTCAAAGAAGATAGTTGGTATGCGGTGGCAACTCTTCCCTTCACTTTTGTAATGTGCCTGCCAACATGATGGGGGCAAGACAAAATTAGGGGTACACAACGTGGGGGAAGGCGCCCTCACAAAAGAATCGCTGCCCGTGGTGCAGGGGGATATCAACTTCACACCGCAAGTGGACGACACAGGCTCCTGTGAGTGGGAGCGCGTAAAGGCCGCCAAGGCAACATTCTGATCTATGCCAATGGCATTTAACAAATATGAAACATTAAGATACTACAGGGGAGGATGCAGGATTTCGTCAAAGGAGCGAAGGGGGGGGGGGGGGGCACCTAACATTGCGAGGCCCCCTAGAGTTCGGGGCTCCTCCTCTAGAAATCCTGACATTCCGACCATTAGACAAGATTCTTAATTGTGCTATTTTCATACGGAAGCGTATCTTCCTTTGCGCAGCCCTAGCAAAACTAGGCGTGCCACGCACGCGAGCACAAGGAGCTTGCTTGTTTTCTCCACATAATGGGTCAGTCATTTTCAGGCTATGTATTTCCGATAAAACATGTCAAAATGTACTAATGCAACCGTCTAATGTATTGTAACAAAATGTAACATAGAGTTGGCTGATAAATACCAACCAAAGCAAGCGCGAACTTGACTTTTAACCCATCTACGGCTAGCCGGTTAATTTATGTAATCAGCTGATTGCTGATGGATTAGGCAGTTTTGCCTTGACTGTTATTGAGGAGTACAATATCCTAGCATTCAAAGTGAATTAAGAACATCACCCAAAAGTATAAGGAGTGTCACAAATACCATAGCCATCGGAAATGACTTGCACAATGTTTGCGGCGCGTGAAGTTATGTTCGACAATTACGCGCAAAATTCATCGACGCATATTTAATTGTTGTTGTACAGCTAAGGTATCTAGGCAAATCGTCATCTTGTGATCTCGGACTTGTATACATGAAGTAATTTAGCCAGGCCCGTGCATACGAGCAGGCGAAATGTCATGAAGCTTGCAAGCAAATGTGGGACGTTTGGCAACAGAATAAGCTCCCTCTGACTTTTTCGGAAGAGCCCACGACCGATGTGGAGGGCCCCATAGCGATGGAGAACGTCCCGGCCGATTAAGATGTAAGTCCGCAGCGGTGGTGGTGTCATGGTTAGGGTGCTGGAATCTGGGCCTGTCAGTCTGGGGCTGGGGCCCCGGCCATGTCACTAACGCATCGCTAATGATACATTTTAAACGCATCCGTCCCAAATGTCCCTGCCAATTGGTGAAACGTAAGGCCCCAGTCTTGTTATTAAGATTTAGGTTCTCGTCAGCGGCATGGGCCCTCCTTTAGTATGGGAAACCCCAAGACCAAAAGGCACGGCACCTGAGTGATCGAGGGTGCCGCGGCAGGCCCAGAAAGAAACTACCGCCAACAGTGCAGGGTTCTCAGAGCAAGCGAAAAGAGCGTGCGACCAATATGGCGGGGTCCTTGAGCAATCGGGACTACCCCAGCAGGTTAACATGTTGGGCCCGACCAGCGCACCCTCTAGGACCCTCTAAGCAAAGGGAAATAGCCCAAGACCAGTGTGTGCGAATTTTGCCTCTTTGCAATCAAGAGTGTCCGGGCAGGTTAACAGAAAGGTCACTAACAAGAATGAAGGGTCATTCACAAACAAACTCAAAGGGAAAAGGCCCTAGATCAATGTAGGGAGTCCTGAGCATCGAGTGCCTGAGTGCAGTACCTTATATGAGCCCCAGCAACAGCATAGGGCCCTCCGAACACGTGGCAAGAGCCCAGTAGTAATGTGAAGGGCCACGGAGCAACCGTGCGCACCATGTCATATGGTGTTCCGGTAATAGCGTACAGAGCCTCTCGGGCGAATGTGAATAATCCGTGGAGGACACTTGATCGATTAAGGGTGTCCAGGCATGGTAGCAGATAGTAGGACCCTCCTATGGTAAGGGCCTGCGTTCAAATAGGAAGTAGTACCAATAGTAGTAGGAAGTAACCTATACCAATTGTGCAGGGCCCCCGAACAACTGGTGACCTGCCCGAGCAGGTTAACAGATCCGGCCCGCAACAAAAACGTAGGACCTTCCATTCAAATCGGAAGTAAGCGACGAGACCCATTGTGGAGGGCCGCCGAACAGAAGTCTGACCGAGCGGGTTGACAGATAATGTTCCATTAATAATGTAGGGCCCTCAGAAACCAATAGGAAATATTTATGACTGGGTGTGATAGGCCCCCAAACGATCAAGTGTGCCCGAGCGGCTCACCAAATGCCCTCCCCCACTAGCGGAGGGGACTACATTGAAATAAGAAGTACACAAGACTCGATGTGGAGAGCCCCCGAACGATCGAGGGTGCCAGAACAGGTTAGCAGATGGGGCCCTCGACAAGAGCGCGGAGCCCTGAGCAAGTGACAGGGATCTGGAAGGGCCCCAGACCCATGAAGTGGGCTCATAAGCATATCAAGAGTATGTCGGTATGTTAATCGAAACCAATGTGAGGGGTCCCTGAGCAGCCTAGAATGCCCCGACAGTTTAACATATAGGCCCCCGGTTAAAGCGTATGAGCGAGTGGCGAATACCTGTTTCGGGCGAGTGGGAAGAATCTGTGGAAGGCCCCGGATAAAAAAAGTGACCCGGCATACCAGTAGAAAGGACTACGGCAACAGCGCGGGATGCTCCGAGCAAATGCAAAGAAATGAAGGGCGACGCGAAAGGCTCCTTAGCGATCGGATTTACCCCGCAAGTATACATAAAGGGGCCCTAGGAACAGCGTTAAGCCTCGGGACAGCGTACTGAGCTTTACGATCTCTGCCACCGTCCTCTCAATCAGTGAGGAATTATTTTGTCTGCTCGCGGACCCTCCACTTTCGTTTGCGACTGTTTTTTGGTCGCCTTGAAGCCCAAAGACGTCCAATTTTTTGCGTTTTGTGTAAAAAACTGCGTCTGTTTGGACGGATCTGGGCCCCTTCGGAGCCTATGGACTCCTTCGGGTCCCAAGGGGAGGGGTATTGCCCTGTGGTCCCCTCTCGGGATGCACCCCAGAGATGCTGACCACTTTGGAAGCATAACGTTTAAAATGCATTGACCTAGCATTCCCCTTTTCTAGCAACACAACACAAAAGCTAAATGCACTTTAATGACTGGCCACACCAGTACCACTGCGCTCGGTGCGCTCCTCCTATAAGGAACCAAACCGTCGAATAAAGCCGAATCGGAGCCCTGCCGACGCAAATCACTCACGTCTGCCGCCGCTTTCTGACCACGCCCTTGGTGGTGGAGCGCTGGAAGAGCAGCTCCGGCGGTATGACTGGTTGCTCGCCGGGCGGCCCAGGCGGTCCGGCCGGGCCCGGCCGACCACGGTCGCCCTTGTTACCGGCTGGGCCCTCGCTGCCCTTCTCGCCCACCGGACCCTCCACGCCCGGCAGGCCCTGCGGCCCCGGGTCGCCCTTCATGCTCGCCGGGCCCAGCGGGCCCTGTGGAGAGGCCGCGGCGGTCACGTTGGCACGCTCGATTAAACGCGACGCGAGTTCTCGAGGCATTTTGATGAGTTCATCCATACATCAGCACACATAAATATAGACAAACATGCCTCGTTCGATACATATTTTAGGGCACTGGCACATCAGGCCATATAGTCAATCACATCCTGTGGCTTACTTCATGAAAATGTCAACTTACTTGCGACATTGACATTCGTGCCGTGCCAGTACGCAGCATATGACAACTTCGCATCAGAAGTTAGGTGATGCTAGGCGTGAATGCGACATTAAAACACGACTTCTTTCCGAAGGAACATAAAACATGACCCAATGACCAGGTGAGGATGGCTGTGTCAGGGAACTGTTCGATGTAAGCAACATTTCCCGTCAAACCCAACAGCCGGCGTGGGGCGCCTCACAGGGTGCAGTGAGCTTGTGCGCCAGGTCATCAGCCCCCCCCCCCCCCCACATACCACATCGCTAGCTATCTCGTAACAAGCCCCCTCTCACCGGTTCTCCCTTGAGGCCGGGCAGTCCGGGCAGACCCCTCATGCCGGGCTCCCCCTTCTCGCCGAGCTCGCCCTCCTTGCCGGGCAGGCCGATCTCGCCCCGATGACCCTTCTGCCCGGGTCGGCCGCGGCGACCCTGCCTGCCCGGCGGGCCAGTCTCGCCCGGCGATCCCGGCGGGCCCACCTCGCCGACCGTTCCCGTAGCACCGCCCTCTCCCTGCCGGCGCCGCGGGTCAAGGTCGTGTCGAGATCAGCACGAAGAGGGAGGGATCACCGACAGTCGCTCCCGGTTCGCCGCTCTTATCCCGCTAACGACACAGAATATTTGTTGACATGTCAAGGCTCAGCACGGTAGAACCATCTACCGCCATGACGTGATATTCATTCTCCGCTGCGTATATTCGCCTGATCTCTGAAAAACCCTTCCATTTTTACACCGCTGATGAACTTGCGCCCTATCGTTTGAGACATCACGATACATCTACCCATACAGGGCAATCACAACGTACGACCAACTGCAAAGATGGTCTGGCATGGCACAACGAACATGTGACAAGAAATGTTCATGTAAACGTTACCGCTGGTCCGGGCGAGCCGCGGATGCCTGGAGGTCCCTCAGGTCCCGGCAGACCGCTGGGTCCAACAGGGCCCGGCGGTCCCCCGGGACCGTCCATGCCTTGGTTTCCTTTCTGGCCAGCAAGTCCTTCGCTTCCTTGAGGTCCAGCAGGACCCTCTGGACCCTGAAATTCGTATAATGGTTCACATCAATCAGCAAAGAGTCGCAGTGGAAGTAAGAGAAGGTTTAGCAGCGTTTGTTTGGCCATTCGCAACACACATTTACATCTCTTAGTTGTTGAAATACGGCGTAAAATAAGGGATGGTGGCAATGAACAGGCGTGTATTAGTACAACAAAACTAAATTCGCAAGGCACCATTCGTGCACAGTGCGATCCAATGCTGAATGACGAACCAAAATATCGTAGCGTCACAAACCAGAAACTGAGTTTCTGGTTCCATCGGACCCAAAGCAAACCAGGAACGCAGCAGTACGAATTCGAGGACAATAGAATGTCAAGGGCAGCAAAGGTCCAAACGAACACAAGATCAGGGCAAGTGCAAGTCAGGCTCAGAACAAAGTCGAGACAGGAGCTATGTGGACTTCAAAAAAGTCAATATGTATGCGGGATAAAGCGAGATAATGGCAGTCAGTGATCTTAGACGCCACGCCCTGCCTGTCGTCAGCGCGTGGCGAAACGCACCGGTTTGCCGGGCCCTCCATCTAAGCCAGCCTCGCCTCTGGGCCCCGCGTCCCCGGGCGGCCCGGTGGGTCCCAGCTTGCCGTCCTGGCCAGGCAGACCCGGCTCGCCCTTGGTGCCCTGTGGAGCACGCGCACGCGTCGTGGCGGTGATCATCAGACGGCCGGCGGACCGAGTACCTCTCACAGGAGCGGCAACAAGCAGGCTCAGCGATGGCATGGTAGTGAGCTGCGTTTCTTCTCAGCGATTGGCTGAATTTTACAGGTCGCTAGTTCAGCTTTCACATTACCATCCTGGTAACATGCAACTTGAATCATGGCTTGAAGGTGTATGCATTGTGACAAGAATGAAAAGTGAACAAAAGGCAACACTGGTGTAACAAACTCGCTTGATGCTAAATGACGCAGATAAGGCAGGCTAAAGGGAGAGAGAGAGAGAGAGAGAGAGAGAGAGAGAGAGAGAGAGAGAGAGAGAGAGAGAGAGAGAGAGAGAGAGAGAGAGAGAGAGAGAGAGAGAGAGAGATATATACACATAGAGTGTATATATATATATATATATATATATATATATATATATATATATATATATATATATATATATATATATATATATATATACACATATATATGCGTGTGTGTGTGTGTGTGTGTGTGTGTGTGTGTGTGTGTGTGTGTGTGTGTGTGTGTGTGTGTGTGTGGGTGTGTGTGTGTGTGTGTGTGTGTGTGTGTGTGTGTGTGTGTGTGTGTGGTGTGTGTGTGTGTGTGTGTGTGTGTGTGTGTGTGTGTGTGTATGTGTGTGTGTGTGTGTGTGTGTGTATGTGTGTGTGTGTGTGTATGTGTATGTGTGTGTGTATGTGCGTATATCTTTAACGAATCACGGCGCAACTGTGTTTATCAGGATACCGCCACGCGCTCCAACGCTGGCTGGCCCCTACCTGAACGCCCGATTCGCCAGGCGGTCCGGGGAAGCCCTCGTTGCCAGGACTGCCCTTGGGCCCCTCGCGGCCGGGCGGGCCCCGCTTGCCGGGCGGTCCCTGCAGGCCGGTCAGGCCCTGCTCGCCCTTCTGGCCGTGCCGGCCGGGCCCGCCGTGCTTGCCGTCACGGCCCGTGGGGCCGGGTGGGCCCGTGTTGCCCGGCTCGCCCTTGGCGCCCTGCAGACCCTCGGCACCCAGAGGCCCGGGCAGACCCTCCGGGCCGACACTGCCGGTCTTGCCCACCTCGCCAGGCTGACCGCGCGGCCCCACCGGACCTGGTGGCCGACGCAGGCAACGTGCAGTGAGCAGACGCCAGACGACCGGCCATTGGTGCGCTTACAAATGATCGATTTCGATGAAATGGTGAGCGGTGGAAGGAAAGACTTCGGCTGTTTGATGACATATTTGACACATTTCATCGTGAGAAACATGTTAGTCATGAACCACACCTAAGACTTGAGCAATTTAAACGCTGTTGATTGCGGGATCCTTCATGCAAGAATTACAGCATACGTTCACAAGTGCAATTGGCGAAACAATATTTCGCAGATGTGTTTGAGTTCCACACGTATCGGCACTACGCTTCGTCATTGAAGAAATGGATCCAAGTTAACTTGACGGTTCTTAAAGAAGCACGCGCGTAACGACGTGACAGTACCATACAACTAAGACAGCTGAAGCACAGGAGCAAAATTCAACAGCTTGGGACCGAGTACGATGAAGCCCATGCCCCGAAACCGCACAAGCCATGCATGTGTCACCTTTCTTGCCGCGGTCGCCGGTGCTGCCCTTCTGGCCGGGCGTTCCGGGCAGTCCCTGGCGGCCGGCGGCCCCTGGCACGCCCAGTCTGCCCTGCGGGCCCGTCTCGCCCTTGCGGCCCGGTCGGCCCATCTCGCCGATAAGGCCCCGTTCGCCGGGCGAGCCTGGGGGCCCGGGCTCGCCGCGGGCCCCAATCGGGCCCGTAGGCCCCGCCAGACCCTGCGTCAGATGGAGGTGGCACTTGTGACAGCTGCCTGGTTTCTACAGATGGGGACAGGATGTCCAGCGCCGGCAGTAGAAAAATGAAAAAAACGCATGCACCAATGCAAAGCAGTTGAAGGCAGTTTTTGAAGCTTTCATTCTGATGCAAATCAATGTTCTCGCAAGGAGGAGCGCAATGGTGCATCAGCACGGTCATTCCAACGTGAAATTGCTACATACCCGGTAGCTTTCTCCGTTGCGAGGAGCCCGCCAGATCACAGACATGACTTACCGTTTCCCCGCGCTGGCCCTGGTGACCCTTTTCGCCGGCCGGCCCCATCTCGCCCTTCTCTCCGTGCTCGCCCGGGGCACCGAGCGGGCCCGGCGCGCCCTGCATGCCCCGCAGGCCGGGTAGGCCGTCTCGGCCGGTAGCTCCCGGCAGGCCCGAGGCGCCCTGCGGTGACCGACGTCCGTCACCATCGCCAGCCAACTTGTCCATCAACCAAGCATGAAGTGCTGCGCACAGTCTGAACAGTATGAAGAGTCAATTCAAGATAGTCCCCAAAACATTAGTTTACATCATTAAGGATCGCAGAGTTGATACAACGGCAATGATGGAATAAGTCATGCATTTGCAATGCGTTAGAAATGCTATGTTCCTACATGATAATAACTAAACTAACACATGTAACCTAAGGGATATGCATTATATACCTTACAAGCTCGGATGCCAGGTGGTGCCCTAGCTATGAAGAGAGGTATGCCCCAAAGAGACAATTTGCGGTGGTTGCGTTTGGTTTTACGATAAAGATTGATCTGCCTTGGGTCTTGAGTATTAGTAGGCATTCATAGCGAGACATGCGTTGATCAACTACTCCCACATTTTGTGAAAATTCTAACAAAATATTGCAAGCCTCCCAGGCATACCTATTCTATTCCTGGGATCGGATAGCATCCTAAATTCGTCGAAGCGTTTGCGATATAAATGATATGCTCCAGCTCCAAGGCAGGCACTCCTTCAAAGCACCTACAACCGATGACGACGCCACTTGGGGAGTAGGACGCACCTCTCAACCGTATTCAAAGTGAACCTTCCGTCGATGGCGTTGCCAGGAACAGGCCTCATATGCTCTCCGTCTCATCCAATCCTCTCGGCTCTCCATCCCTCAATTGCTCTAGCAAATTGGTTTGTAACATCGCAGCTCAGATACTTATTTGGTTATCAGCGTAAGAGGTTGAAACTGACTCCCAGACCACGACGGACGGACATGCAATGAGTCAGCAAAGATGACTACCTCGTGATTAACAAGAACGTTCGAAGCTGTGTATGGTATTGGCAACGCTACCAAACGTTACGGATGTCTGGGCCACTCACTTGGTCTCCCTTGGTTCCAGCCGGTCCTTGACCTCCGGTAAGCCCAACAGACCCTTGGGGGCCTGGAGGTCCCTCTTTTCCGGACGGACCCATTTGGCCCTTGTCTCCTTGCACTCCCTGGATGCCTGCTGGACCCAGTCCGCCTTTCAGGCCTTGCAGACCCTGTGTGAATAACGGCCGTTATAACAGTCACAACATAACGAGTAAGGCGCTCTTCCCACTATAGTTGCACCCCGATAACAATCCCTGACAATCGCGCTTTTCGTGTTAATAGCGCTATTGCATTTACATGCAAAATGTAAATGTTCATCACCGAAATGTGTCCGAATAAATCCGTCTTTTTTTTTCTCAGTACCACGCAGTCTGTATGGACGTGCAAACAAACGCAGAAGCAAGCGTCATCCAGTGCCGGCGTCGCCTCCAGCGGCTCTGTTCAGCCGGTTGTGAGTGCCACCCGTCCCGCCTTACCGGCAAGCCGGCCAGGCCCCGTTCGCCGGGGAAGCCGGGCAGACCGGGAGAGCCGATGGCGCCGGTCTTGCCCTGAGGTCCGATCAGGCCGAGCGGGCCTTCCTTGCCTGCGGCACCGGGCCGTCCGCCCTCGCCCGGGGGCCCGGGAGGTCCCGGTGAGCCGTAGTCGCCGTTGGGGCCCGGCTCGCCCATGGGGCCGGGCGGGCCCACCACGCCGCCGGGACCCTTCGGCCCTGGCGGGCCCGGCTCGCCCTGCGGCACAAGCATACGGTCACATGTCACACCATCGTCACAGTCTGAGGTCATACCGCCCCCCCCCCTTCCGCCACCTACAAGCCACAGAATGTGGTACGGGCAGACAAAGGGGCTCAAGGATGGCGCAAGCTGAAGGCATGGACGTATGAACAGGACAAGAGGCGGAAAGCACTGAAGTGGTGGGGACATCTAAAATAATACGCGCGTAACAGACGGCACACAGACGATCTGAAAATGATCATACAATTATGTCATGCTTGAGTCCAGCATAGCCTGAAGACCCGTCGGGTCTTCCGACAGCATCGTCCGTTTAAGGGATGCTCCACATTTGTATGGGGTTTTGAACTGAAATAGCCATACAGATGACCTTTTGATGCGGTTCACGGTCATGCCCTTTTTAAGACCCAAAGCGCTCTGGTCCCTAAGTTACACGCCCCCAAAAGTGCGCAAAGGTGTGTTGGGAGCCTTCTTCAGTCATCCTGGCATCAATGAGGTCAAAGAAGCGGCATGCTATCGCGATCACACTACAGGCTGTTTTCTGCCTATGGTCAAAACGGTATCGCCGCTGATACATTCGCAAAAGCGGTGATGCCGCGCGTATGATACAGTGCACGAAAAATGATGGGCTGTTAGCAACATTTCGCTGCTGAAAACTTGTCGCGAACGTAAGCGTGATCACTTTTAGGTTGTGCGGCACTCGTGAACGGGACATTTTTTCTTATTTCTAGGGGATAGGCAATGCTATCTAGCGGTCTAACGGGGGCAGGCCAGTGTTTTAAAAAAGAACGCCATTTTCCCCCCAAAAAGTACGGCACCTAAAAACGGGCACTCTCCCGAATGTTATAAAAAATAAGGCGCTACGGCAAATCCGTCTTGTTTTCACCGGCTGGCGTTTTTCTTCAACTGACGTGTTTCTTACAGACAGCTTGGTTGGGCTTGTGTACCGAAACACGGAACCTTGCACGGAGTTATAGGTTAGCAAGGCATTATAAAATTAGAGAAACATTACAGTAACTTTAGATACACATATTGCTACATACTTGACAGGTAACGTGCGACAAATGTAAATTTTGAGCAAAACATTGTTTTCTTCAAGTACAACCTCTCGAGCTGCATTACCATGAACCCCCGTTGGGATTTTGTTTTGGAGGGAGCTCACGGTGAAGTGCGGTGTTATAACCGAAAGTCTGTGGGGAGATTGCGAGAAAACTTGCAATTCGATAGTCCCGCGAGATGTGCAAGCGTGAGATCACACTTATTTGACAAGAGAGCGTGAATAAGGGGCTCGAAATAGGAGTGATCACTGGAGATGTGTGCCAGTGGCTTGTATTGGTTTTGATGCGATGGGGAGTGTGCGTACAAGGTTTGTATTTCTGAGAGAACATGGCATTGATATTCTTTAAGTCTACTAGCTCTCAATAAAATGTGATACATCGACACCTGCCGCTACCTTTATGTTTGTGTTTGCCAGACAAGGTAGTGCCTGCAAACTGAGAGAAACATTAGCACTTACGTTGCAGGGATGTACAATGGCAATTTGGTACTTCATTATAATCTTGCCAACATTTGGAACATATTGAGGCATTACAGTATGTAATTAGTACATTGCATGTCATACCAGCAATTTATTTTGGCAGCAGGGGCTGGTGCGCACAGCTCATTAATGTCTATGGTTAGTATAAGTCCACACGATAGAGGTGTGCGAAAACGTCTTTCCATAAGAAATCGGAAAAAAACTGTGTCATTATTGATGCACATTCTACCGTCTCAACAAATTTTGTATGTAGACAAGCATGCCTCATGAGTCATCAATGTCATAGTCACGGCAACTTGCGTGAGACGCTGGGTGCTGAGAAAGGTGGAGAAGTATTGCTGTTGGTGTCTTGGATAGTGCCTAATATTATTTTTGTCGTGAGTCTTGTGTTCACTGGCAGCCTTATTACTTCCCTGCATTTTGCCCCTCTAACCATAACTACATGCACTGGCCATGCCTCCAGCCTTGTGCAAGGTCAGCATGTTTGCAGTGTCGTTTCACCACATGCAAAATTGTTCTGTTATCTTTCAGTAAAGCAGCCTGATGGCTGCAGCGTGTTGCATGATCATGGAAGTGGAAGATGTGTTTGCATCATTGTCACCATGTTTTGTGGATTCCCAAAACTGGCTGAGCAAGTGATGTCACTTGTTGGTTGCCTGCTTTGCTGAAAGTAATTTGCAAATTGTATCATATGTTTTTGGTGAGTCATATGTCAGATGGACAGTCAATACAAAAGTGCATGCTGAACCCATCTTTTCATGATTAAATTTATTGTGAAAGCAGCAGGGATTGCGGTACAAATTGTTCATTTTGCCATGCCACAGTACAGCACAGGGGCAGTGCCACAATGATGCTTTTGACCAATGCCATTACGTGATGTACCACATTGGTTGACTTCTCTGTCAAGGGCATGAGGCAGCAGCCTGTAATTTATGAATAACTGGTAATAACTGATTTAATAATGGCAAAGGACTATAACAGCATGAATGTCATTGCACTACAATGGTTATATCAAGGTTATCTGGTAATTGCATAAACAATCCTAAGCAAGAAAACATTTTTGGTAGCCCGACCTTACCATCCTTACCATAGGAATAATAATGATTTGGCAATCAATTCATAACAGTGTTACAGATTTATCAATTTTTGCGGGGCACTGCATTTCCAGTTACAAACAAAGAAAGCAAGTACTGTACACATCACATATCAATGCCAGGATTACAGCACTGCAGGCCAGGATAGGTCGTCAATACAGTATTGGCAAGTTCATCATCAGCAGCATATCAGCGACAGCAACAGCACAGCACATCGTCCTTTGATATTAATAATCTGCCGTCAACCCCGGCGATCATTACGTTGTGTATGTCAAACAGTCCACCAAAGCTTTTCTTACGGCCAGCACCAAGACAAAAACATCCACAAACAAACCACCCTTTACTTCTCCACGCGACACCGCGCCGGTGAAGAGAATGGCCGGTCGACGTCAGCTTTCGTGTGTTTCGAGGCATTCTTTAGGTCTGGCTGCCAGATGCTGTCAGGTATTGCTGTCGTCACAAAACCATTTCATGACGCCATCAAACCATGACGTAATGGGGAGCATTTTTACCAACTTTGAGATTATTCTACTCAGCGTCGTTTTTGAACCTTGAAAACTTACCAGCAGTTACAAGTAAGCTTTTCCCATCATATCTGATGCCCACCTCAATATCTTCAAATGTGGAGCATTCCCTTTTTAAGGCCGAGCCGCCTGCGTCAGCCGCCTCCTTCTCACCTGCTGTCCTCGCTCCCCAGGTGATCCCGGCACGCCGTCCTTCCCGTCGGTGCCCGGCGGACCCTGCTGACCCTGGTGGCCGCGCGGACCCTCGGGGCCCAGCAGCCCCTGCTCGCCGTGGGGCCCCGGCGGACCCGGCTGGCCCGTGTCGCCCTTGGGCCCGATGGGACCGCGGGCACCGCGGCGGCCGCGCGAGCCACGGAAGCCCTGATGATGCAGAGGGTGTCATCAGAGGTGTGGCCATGAACCAGCGGGCGTCAGCCGATGTAGCTGGTGGCCAGCCTCAAGGAATATATTCAGCACAGCCGTGACTGAATGATGGCCATCGGGTGATTAATCAAACACTCTCTTGCATGGAACTTCGTCACAAACAGTTAAACACTGAAAGACGGTACAGCTATGGAGGTGCTTTGGGCAAGTGGTTAGACGCCGAGGTGCCTGACCCTGGGTCCGCGCTCGCCGCGTTCGCCGGGGATGCCGTCTGGGCCGTGCTCGCCCTTGGCGCCCGTCTCGCCGGTGCGGCCCTCGCCGCCCTTGTCGCCCTTCTCGCCCGGCGCGCCCGGGTAGCCCTGGAAGCCAGGTGCGCCCAGCTTGCCCTTGTCGCCGGGCAGGCCAATCGGTCCGACTTCGCCGCGAGGACCTTCGAACCCCTGCCGACGGGCGCGGCAGTGGTCAGCGAGCGGGGCGATGGTAATCTCAACAGTAGCCGCGACACGTCGGAGACGTTATCGTCGGTCAGGCGCTCATTAAAACGCGGATGGCAGCAAGCATATTGCCTACCTGCAAGGCATCCGAACCTTTTTCAAGAATGCCACCAGTACTACTTGCTAGCGGACCGACCGATGGATCATAAGTACGAAGCCTGCGCGCGCGCGCAGACTTCTTGCGCACATACGTGTGTGTGTGTGTGTGTGTGTGTGTGTGTGTGTGTGTGTGTGTGTGTGTGTGTGTGTGTGTGTGTGTGTGTGTGTGTGTGTGTGTGTGTGTGTGTGTGTGTGTGTGTGTGTGTGTGTGTGTGTGTACACACACGCACGCACGCACGCGCACACGCGCACACGCGCACAGGCACACACGCGCACAGGCGCACAGGCGCACACACGCACACACGCACACACGCACACACGCACACACGCACACACACACACACACACACACACACACACACACACACACACACACACACACACACACACACACACACGTTAGATATCCCGAACCCGTTCCCAATCCGCAGCCACGACTGACCAGCCTGTTTACAGCTAAGATGCACTCCATCAGGCGCAGTCATTTCTTGTCTGCCCCTCTCCCTTTCTGCACTCACCTTTGCTCCCTCCGGTCCCTCGAGGCCCGGGATGCCCTGCGGGCCCGTCTCGCCTCGCTCTCCCTTTTCTCCCATGTCGCCTTTGTATCCGTCCGATCCTAGATCTCCCTTTTCACCCTTATCTCCGGAGGCTCCTCGCGCTCCCATGTCTCCCTTCATGCCTCTGCTTCCAGGAAAGCCGACGGCACCCTACAGATGTCGACACAAGCACATCAGCGTTCTTCACTCGATGCGTATCAAAGGGGATTCATAAGATTCGGCCAGCAGATGCGATAGCACTAATGTTTTGGCGCACGAAGTCCAGGCAAATTCTTCTCCGTTCACTACGCCTTGCAAACGGGCAAACGAAGAAGGGCTTCTACTCGCAGTGCCCGCACCTCACACCGGTTTAAAAGTTCCAATGAATGCGAGCGATCGTTACACCAGGGAGGTCCCCTTCCCTCCCGGCGGGATTAACCTGGGCGCCGGGGAGTCCATTGTCGCCCTTGGCGCCTGTTGTGCCGCTTCGTCCCGGAAGTCCTGGAGAGCCTTCGGCCCCCGGCAGACCCTGAAGCCCTTGCTTGCCTGGATGGCCCTGCAACAGAAAGAGCCAGTTGCAGCACGAATGACAATGGCGCAATGTATGCTCAATCTGGTCCACCATCACTCTAAGATCTAGAATTGCTGGAAGTTATGACCTAAATGTCTTGTTTTTCATAATAGAAATCCTAATAACGATGCTTCAAACAGTATCAGGCATCCTCACTTACAAATTATTGTTCGGTCCTCTTAACGGACTGACATGTAAGAGGTCTCTTAGCCGTCAGTCACTTACAGCGGCGCCTGTCGGACCGACGGAGCCTTGAGGTCCGGTGGTGCCCGGGGGCCCCGGTGGCCCCAGTTGGCCGGAGGGACCCGCCTGGCCCGGCGGACCGGCGTTGCCCTTGAGCCCGGTGGGGCCCTCGGAGCCGGGGATGCCGGGGCTGCCCGGCAGGCCGCCGAAGCCACGCGGACCTGGGAAGCCGCGGGCGCCCATCTCGCCGGGCACGCCCGGAGCGCCCTGCGGTCCTTCCTCGCCGCGCGCGCCGTCTCGGCCCGGCTGGCCGCGGCTGCCGGGTCCGCCGCGCCGGCCGCGGTGACCCTTGTCGCCGGGCAGACCTGGTGGAGCGGCAAGGGTCACAACGAGTCGGCGGGGAAGACACTACACATCCCCAGTAGTCGTGCGATGTAGAGCCACATTCTTATGCAAATTATGTGACGCATATATTCGTTTGTGATTTTTTTGTGGACGAAGAATGGCACCTTCGTTTCTGCGTCGTGAGCACCTTAGTTATTACAATCGTGGTAACCGACTGCAATAAGCTCCTGGCTCCTTTACCGACCTTGTTGCCCGTATAAGGCCTCAAGATCCAATAATAAGAAGAAAGCTTAGGTGGCACCTGAGCTTGCAGCCAGTGAGCCGCAATTCGTTCGTCACACCCATAAAGGTATAAGCGTCACGCGGCATCTGGGCGGCGGCTCCTACCTGGCAGGCCGCGCAGACCCTGCTCGCCCTTCTCGCCGGTCGGGCCGGACAGGCCGCGCTCTCCGTCGCTGCCAGCCGGGCCGCGGCGGCCGTTCCGACCGGCCGGTCCAGCCACGCCCCTCCGACCCCGCGGACCCTGCCGGCCGCCGCAGGGTCAGCGCCGGGTCACGGGTCACCGCCACCGCAGGCGACTGGCCGCGGCATGTGACAATGCAGGAGATGGGCCCAAGGCAGTCGGCTGCCTAGGACTGATGCCATCTTCGTAGTTTGCATTGCATTGTGACGGGGCGACCAAACAGCATGTTTTGAATGCATGTATGCAACGTTGCATATAAAAGGGTCGATGAACTCAACAACGGAAGGGCTTCAGTTTCTTCATAACGCATCAATTTATTTTACGTGTATGGATTTGGCTACGGAACGGATTCATAGAGTGTCACAAACAGAAGATTACAAGTATGTTTATGCTGATAAGGTGAAAACACCTAGGATTACAAATTTATGTACATTTTGGTAGCTAGCGTGAAAGTGTAAAAGGCAGCGTAAAAAAGTTTCTTGGTAATAATAAAACACGATGCACTTTAGCCATAACATGAATCGACCGAATCAGGGAATGAAAGGGCGCTCGACGAGAAATGCAACGTGATGTAGCCTCGCAACACAAGGCAACCAAAGCACAAACGCAACCAAACATCTTCGCGAGACTCGCATGGGGAGCCACGTCACCAGCGTATGCCGTTGAGACCACACCAGCGCGTCTCAGCAGCTGGCAGAACAGCCCCGCGGCGTTGCCGGCCCTCACCTGCTCGCCGGGCTCGCCGGGTTCACCCTTGACACCGGGCGGTCCCGTGGGTCCCACGGGTCCCGGCAGACCGGGCATGCCGCGTGCACCCTGCACGCCCTTCATCGTGCGCACATGCTGGTTCAGCATCAGTCGCATCGACTCGGCCTGCGCGTTCGGGCCCTTTTCGCCGTTGCCGTTGTTGATCTGGGGAGGACGGGGTCCGGTGCCGGTACGCAGTCGGGCTATTGGGCGGGGCTGATGGGATGCGCTTCACTCCAAATGACGAATCCTACGCTCGGTGGAGCGACATACCACAGTGCGAGTGTTACATGATCATGATATCTCAAATTTCCTGGTCACACACGGAGTGTGCGTCCTGATGTGCAGGACGCCACACTCCGTGTAGTGACTTAAAACGACGCTAGGCTGCATGCTGGCTATATTGCTTTGTGGGTTTGCGATACGGGCCATGACCTGACCATGCACTGTGCTGTGACCTGAACACCACTCCAATTTGGGTTGTCACTACGCTGCATCGTGTGATGACTAGTCGGTGCACCGTCTGGTGACCGGTTATTACCGGTATCATGAAGATGTTGCCGGGCGGTCCTGCGATGCCGTTACTGCCGGGCAGACCGTTTCTGCCCGGTTCGCCCTGCGGTCCGGGCGGTCCGGGTGGTCCGGGCTGACCGCGTGACCCCTGCCGAGGCGGCGCCGCTTCACCGCCGTCACCGCCAGCCCCCTCTTCCGGAGGCCCCGCCGGCAGCGGCGGCCCCTCCTGCCGGCACAGTCACGCTCCGTCACGTCCTTGTCATGTACCACGCGCTCCGTCACGCCCCCGTCGTCCTGCACCAGGCACCGATGCGAACACAGGCTACGAACGATGATTACCGCTGGCGACGACAGTAATGCGTTTCATGAATGGATGAAACAGGTAAAGGTTCACTTACTTGTGACCTTCCGAAGGATCACGAGCAGCTAGCGAAATTGGAAGATCACTTCCTTTGCTACTCCTTAATGCCCACCAGCAGATGGAAGACACCAACTGATCCAAAGCGGAAAAAGTGGGGCTCCGGTCGATATCAGGCCACTTTCACCGTCTTAGCAGCTTCACTATTGTACACTCACCGATCCCTCTCTGAGGGGCTTTGAATTGGTCACCAGCCACTGAGAAATTTCACGTTATATTGCTCAAAAGAAGTGCATTATATTTCCGGAGGCATCTCTTGGGCAAAATGCGATTAGGATTGGCCGCTTGGGTGGCAACCGATAACTACGTGATAAGTCATGCTATGTTTGTCCAACCAATCACTGTGCAACGAAACCAATTATTTAGGGGCCATGCGCCCAAGCAACAGGATCGTCGCTACCGCCAGGGGACTACACAGGGCTTCAGGTAGACCCTTCTCCCCCGGCACTCCATTGATGATACACATCTCGGCCACGGTGCACCGCTGGCCACCCGTCTGACCTACCTGGGGCTCTTCTGCGTCATCCCCCTCGGCCGGCGACGTGGCGTAGTCGTCATAGTCGGACGTGAACTGGGGCGCCCGTGCCGGACGCCGGGCCAGCGGCGCCCCGCAGTCGGGAGAGAACTCCGAGCACTGGTCGTAAGCGGCTGCCGGACTCGGTGACATCAGCACCTGCTGGAGGTCTCCCTGGCGGACAGACGAGACCGGCTACTGGCGCTGCGCTGCGTACAAGGGGCTGCGAGGGGTTATAGAGGGCTGCGTGACCTACGACCGCTGCGTGCAGTTACAGAAGGCTGTGTGTGGTTACAGAGTGCTGCGTGGAATTGCAGAGCGCTGCATGGGGTCACAGAGGGCTGTGTGGGGTTACAGAACATTGCGTGGGGTTACAGAAGACTGCGTGGGGTTAAAGAGGGCTGCGTGGGGCTGCAGAGGGCTGCGGGGAGTTACAGAGCGCTGCTTGGGATTGCAGAGCACGGCATGGTGTTACAGAGTGCTGTGTGGGGTTAAAGGGCGCTGCTTGGGGCTTAAAAGGGCTGTGCTGGGCATGGGGCTACAAAAGTCTGTATGGGGACACAAAAGGCTGCGTAGGGTTACGCAGGGCTGCGGGCGTACAGTTACAGAGAGTTGCGTGGTGCTACAGGGACTACGCGAGCCACAGGAGCTGCGTGGGGCTATCGAGGGCTGCATGGACCACAGAGGACTGCATGGACATAAGGCTGCGTGGGGCTACAGGGAGCTCCGTGGGATGCAGATAACTGCGTGAGGACGCATAGAGATACGCGAGGACCCAGAAGGCAGCGTGAGGGCGCAGAGGGCGCAGACTGTGGGAGATTGAATAGGGCCGTTACAGAGGGTTCCACGAGTGTATGGAGGTCTGCGTAAAGTGGTTATCAAGGTCTGCGTAAGGGTGCAGGGTGCAGATGGTTGTGCGCGCAGGGAGCTCAGAGGACTGCGAGACCCGTCACCAGACGGCATGCCCGACAGGCTGCCGGTGCATGCCTGATATGGGTCAACACTACCAGAGGCCGTGACAACTTACAATATAGTGCATCTACTAGAATTTCTAAGCCATGCACGCATGCTCCTGCGCCTCACTCAAAAAAGGCAGCTTTATCACTGTAGCCCCTTTCTAAAAGTGGAATATTTGGAGTCATTCTTAAATCCACATACGAATAACGACCAGCTGAAATGTCTTCGAGGGATGAATATAAAGCATAAGGATGAAACAAACATACCGGCCGAAGGTTCTTTTTAAATCCCGACGGTCGTGAACCAGGCCCGCCGATCACCAGCAAACGACCGTGCGTCGTCTGCTGACCATCAGTGCTAACCATGTGCCTGCAGGACCTACCTGAAACGACTGGCTGCCGAGCAGAACCTACCTGGAACGGCTGGCTGCCGAGCAGAACCTACCTGGAACGGCTGGCTGCCGAGCAGAACCTACCTGGAACGGCTGGCTGCCGAGCAGAACCTACCTGGAACGACTGGCTACCGAGCAGAACCCACCTGGAACGGCTGGCTACCGAGCAGGTGCTGGCCCACGATGGTGACGCCTCCCGTGTCGAACTCGAGGCCAGCCGGTCGCTCCAGCGACTGGCTCAGCGGCTGGCCGCAGTCGGAGAAGAGTATGGCCGAGTCACCCTTTACCGCCACGGCCAACCGGTGCCACCTGCAGGCAGACGGGTGGCAGGTCATGCTGGGTCACAGCACACCCGGTCACGCTTCAGACAGGTGACACGTAACACTTCGGGCAAGGTCACATCACGCTCGGGCAGGAGTCACGTTACTCTTTAGCTAGTGGTCGCATCATTTCTCAGGCAAAGGTCCCATCACGCTTCAGGCAGAGGTCACGTCACGCTCAGACAGGGGTCACGTCACTCCTCAGGCAGAGGTCCAAAGGAACTCCACATCACACCTTGTCGGACAGGGGCCACGTAAACGTGCCGCACAAGGCCGCGCCAGGACATCGGGTGCTGTTAAGGCTCTTTGGAAACAATGAATGTAAATCGATCGGCATGTTTGTAACAGGAATGGTAGACTTATTTTCATTCAGCCAGTCACTGCAGGTTGAGAGCTATGGCGCATGCTGAGGCGGTATGTCGAAGGCAAAACAACACAACGCGCACATAAAGCAGACATAAAGCAGCCGTGTGCACAAGAACAGACAGTTCACGGGAATGGAAAAACTCATACAGACTGGAGCATTCAACCATCATCACATATGTTACAACGAACGCGGCTCATGGTGAGCTACAATGTTCCTTCAATTCACAACGACGCGAGTTCCCGAACAAAAGAACAGATCATCGTGCGCGGTGTTCAGTGACCAAGCAGCGATCAGGTTCTACCCGATACCCGGGCTCCACCCGGGTCTTGAAATGTTTTCAGAACCACGCGTAAGCACCTATTTTAAACATTTAAAGCGAACTGCTTACGAGAAGAGCGGCTAATTAAAGACGAACTGCTAGTATGCAAGTATACGTGGTCCGATACAAATCTCTGCAACAACAATTTCCCAATCGCTTTTCGTCGAAAGTGGACACTGGCCAACGTGTTTTGAGGACATCCTCTTTCGTCGACAACGTTTCGTAACGGTGTGCGCAGTATAGATGCATGAAAAATTCCGACCACTCACTTTCCATCGTTGACATTCATCGGGAAGTCGACGGTCTGCGTTTTTCCATCACCGACGGCAATTTGCAACTGCACAGTGTCACCGACAGTAAGCATCAGTTGGTCCTGTAACATGAATCATACCGGTCGGCGTAGACCGGCACGACGAGGAGCATAGATATGTTCTCTGTGCAAAATAGCGGCCAATCAACGTGTGTCGGTCCGGCGAGAGGTAATGTGTCACTTAGTCCGCGCGAGTCCTGTGATATGGAACAGCTCGGCGTGCTCAATTTATCCTTCATGAGATAATTGTGCGTTATTTCCCCAAAAAGACATTTTAACGGCAGCGATAATGCGCCATTATTTTCCCATAATGCGTGAACCAGACGGGAGCTGTCCTAACACAGAGCACGAGTGCTTGTACAACACCGAAAAGCATGACTTTCAACCGTCCTGCGTTGTCAGCCCTGTGCAGTAAATAAAGCCTTCTGTCAAGGTCTGTGTGAGCCACACTTTAGTGACCAGCCATTCAGTACAACACAGAACATAGATGCTCTGAGTCGTGAAAGTTTGGAGGCGTAGGAGATAGAGCATGGCATGCAAAGTAAGACTACCAGCCGGTCACATGCTACCCTCTTTCGGTGCAGTGCGCCCATGAACAGCACTGTTCAACAGACTACCGAAGAAGATGGGCAGAGGCAGACGACCATCCAGTGCCGAGTCACAGATCTTTGCAGATGGACGAGGGCGGTTCAAATTGTACTGACCACAGTCTGGGTAGTACACGCGGGAAAATATAAGGGTTCTGGCGTTATCGTCATGCGGGCATCGAGTTTATTTCTGGCAAAAGTCATAACACCACTGTGACGTAGGCGGACGGCCATGGCTCCGCCCTGTGCAGGAGACTGATGCGATGTGCGTCGAATGGAACTGGATGACACCTTGTTTGATATAATTTTGGAAACATTCCGAGCGATAAATTTGGAAAAAATAGATATCAGATGGTTGTAAAGCACAATGTAGAATATTTACCAGAGTCTGATTTTCGTATAACTTGCGATGTATGGAATCGGCAGGTCAGATGTATAAATCCCGTACGGCAAAGTAGATGTGATTAATGTGGGGACAAACACTGGCATATTGAAAAAGGACATTGCATAGATATTAAATTGCGCCACAGTTGAAAGCTTACGCTGGTTTTGCACAGCCTAACTAATAGACAAAGGACAATAACGGTGCGAAAATATAAACATGAATGGGTCCCAGATTTGACATCAGAAGCAACGCAGACCTGGCGATGGACACGTGGTTGCTTTGCAGATGACTTTCCATCGACACTTAGTTTCTTTGACATGGCAAGCGGTTGAGGCAAACCTGCTGGTTTTTGCTGATTTCACAAGAAATGGCCCAAAGCTTTCATTGCCTGTGCAAACTACCAGGGACCGCACGTGGTGTGAGGAAAGAAACGGTGTCCCATATACTCGTTTGTAATCGTATACTCTATACCCGGTAAGTGCTCCTCGCATATCCTAAGTACTCGTATGTACTCGTTTACCCTTTACTCGTACGCACTCGCTAATACGCAAACCCGAAACTAATGATCTCTTATATATCGATGATCATCATATCAATAATCGTGCCATCAACAACGAGGCCAGGTGACCGAGTATAATGCATGTTGGTCAGGCTGTAAGCATTCGAGCCCGACCGAGCAACGCAGGCGTCTCCGGCTGATCACGTCCTCGTGTAGATACATGCAGCTGCGCACACCTTCTCACGAACGCATCCTGCAATTACCCACTGACGCCATCCGGATCAGTCACTCACCTCGCCCTCATTGCTGTAGACGCCCAGCACTATGCCCGAGGTCCCTTGCTTTGGTCTGAGTGTTGTCAGGATCGAGAAGTCCACCGGAAACCGTCCTGGTCACGTGCGAAACACAGCTCAGCCGCGTAGGGACACGCGCTGAGGTCACATGCCGACAGCTAATGGTCTTTGCACTTAGTTGGATGACGGCTGTCATAGGTTCCGGGCGGATACCCACCCAGCACAGCAACCAAGACAGAACATCAAAGGCATGGTTGCGTCTCAAACAGTACCATTACCAGATGAAGCACATGGCTCGCGTTGAGCCGCCACGTGTCGGGAGAGTGGGACCAGCGGTGCCGCGAGATGGCAGCAGCCCTTCTTCTGGTCCCGGTGCGCCCGCGGAGATTGCACTGACCGGCCAGCTGAGCTGTGGGCACGCTGGCGATAGTGTCCGGCGATAGGTTGAAGGCGGTGTCGGGCGCAGCCGAGCCGTCCGGCTGCGGCCGACGCTCGCACCTGCCGGCCACCCTGGCCACCCCCAGCTGACCCGAGGTCACGCCCGCCTCCCACAGTAGGTCGGTAGGTGCGTCGCTGCCTGCAGGTGAGACAAGGTCACGGCAGGTCAGGGAAGGTCAGACACGCTGGAACGGCGACGGCTGCAAAAGCAGCACGGTCGCCGCACTCGTTGAGATGGTCGTGTAGCAACAAGCGCAATGTGGAATTGGCCAACTTCTTGATTTTGGTGCGCCATCCCGGCGTAGATCATCAGTAGAATGAAGACTGGTAAAAGCATACGGCTTTTTATCACATCAGATGGCGTAATGCAAGAGAATGCCGTGCCGGTGGCAGCACAAATACACTGTTATTAGCACATAGGAAATAATCGGTGTCGCTGTCTGTGCCGAGGTAAGGGCATGCTTGCGCGACTCATTTAGGAGGGATTACCGGTGTTGCTGACTGAAAGTCGTGACTCAAAAACTGAATATGAAACCAACCCGCTGAATATTCATATGTTATTCACGAATTCTCACTGTCTGACCAAAGGCACTCACCTGAGATCATGAATGGTCTATTTGTGGTCTGATCTTATCTCAGCTCCAGAGCTCGAGATCTGAGCTCGCTTTGTGGCCAGGTTTTGAGGAATGACACCTTTGGGCCAGTATTGCAAGGGTTTCGGTACTGGGCCAGCAGGGATGGCATATACCTATACTCCTCTGCTGGCCGTATTGGCAATGAACGCACCACCAGGCCGCAGGTGGTAGATTTCACTAACCCCGGTCCAGACTGGGGCGCTCTATCGCCGGAGCTTTCCTCACAGATTCCGAACATTTGATGTTGTGCGCATACCTGAACATAGCTTGCTTGAGCCGCCCTTGAGCATGAACTCGAGCTTACAACCCTCGATTGCAATGCATGGCGAAGCGCTGCTCACCTCTCAAAAACGCAAGGGGAACAGACAGTTGGGTTTTCCGGTCCATACGGGCATGCTTTTTGGCTACCTCGCCATGCATATCAAATAAAACACCTGGTAGGAGGGTAAGTGCGCCCCGTGACGGGCGCTCCACACATGAGGTGCCTTCCCATGTGTTAATTGTGATAGAGCTTGGAACACCTTTCCATGTCTTTGCAGCGCTAAAATTCAGCCCGGTGATCATTTCAAGGCGAATATGACAGGCACAAAAACCGTTAACCAGTTAGGAGACATCTCACAGAATTAGGCAACACTTCAAAGATAATTGGATGCAAAATTGTTAACCGAAAATAATCTGAAATGCCTACTACGCGCACCGATAGCACAGTCCTTGAAACTTGAATGTGGAGCAAAGGACGTCGTCGTTGTAAGTTGTTCAGTGCATTAGTGAGGAACATCATTCATATAGATAAGACAGAAGTATTGGCCTTATTCCTCGGAGAAAAAAAAAACAGGAGAATGGAGATATAGTTGAGTTGGTATTTCGGCAACATGCCGGCAACATGCCAACCGAAACGATAGCAGAAGTGAATTTAATTGCCTGCCGATAATCCTACTAGATTTTTCAGTTGTTTTGTTTTAACAGCAAGCCACAGTTTTTAGAGGACACCAATATCCAGGGGATAGAACAAAGAGCGATTGGCAGCCATTACTACGATGCAGTGCGTATCTAAGCATTATAATGCGCGAGCATACGTGTACATGCAAATGAATTCAAGCAAATAGGCATCACGCATCACGCTTCATTCAAACATGCAAGCGAGTTGAGGTAATGAGGCATCACAAATTGCGCATCAATTATCCACGCAAACGATTCCAATTGAACAGGCATCGCATATCACGCGTCAGACATCACTTACACATGTAAATGATTTTTAGCTAGCACACATCACACACAAAGGCACATATCACGCTCACATAATTGGTCACGATGAGCCCTGTATGTTCAGATTTGGTCGCTGACTTTTTATAGGAATAAATTCACTTATTTTCCTGTCTGGGTGGTCCTGTGCTCCGTAGGTGACTTTGAGCTCTAAAAGGGGTACGAGGTTCATACCTCCCTCAACTTAAGCCTGAGCGTGTTTTGCCAAAAAAAGGTGACGGAAAGAGGCATTCCCTGTTGTGTTTTCAGCGTCTCGCGGGTGTTAATTATATCTCAGACGAATAGGGCGCATGGGCTCCCCGACATAAACTACATCCCTCCTATGTTTTTCACGCAGTTTATACTTGATTTCGCAAACCACGTTTTTTTGCGTGCAAACCCCTAGAAACCCAGAACTGCATACCTTACATCCGTTGCCGCCGGCATTTAGGTTCCGAGATAGAAGACTTCACCAGATACTTTTTAAACTTATTGTCGTTTTTCCAAGCTATGCGTGCGCATGGTTTTGATTTTTTAACAATGTGTTTGATTTTCCAAAGCAAATGCTCATATATGTAAGGTAGTGCTAGGAATCTGTCTTCCGATAGGCCGTGTTCCCGCCTCCTACCACCCATCACCCCTGCGCTCTATACTTTTTTACTTCTTTCAACATTCCACCTTAAAAGTTGCGGGGAATGTCGGTTGTCTAAAAACAAAGCCCACGTTTTGTTTATGTTCTTTTTCACTACTTGATGAGTTGTTTAGAGCCACATGGAACATGTTACGTTTGGCTCTCCGTATGCGCAGCTTGACCACCGCACGGTCGCAAACATGGAAAAAAATTCAAAATAGTTGTTTATTTTAAAAGCACCTACAGAAACAATCTAAAAGTACCAACAATATGGGCATTGCCAGGGCAGTTCTGCTATTGTTTCGATAAAGACATGATGCCAAAGTATTAGGCCATCTATGTCTTCATTCTCCTGTTTTTTTTCTTTCGAGGAATAAGGCTAATACTACTTTCTTATCGACGTCGTCATTGTCATAAGGTCTTTTCGACGCACTCAGCTGCTAAGGCTGTATCGATTCTCTTGTCTCTCAGTCTGGCAGAAAGGGCATGCACCGCGGGAATTGAACTTCGAACCTTTGGCTTCCCGTACGCGCAGCTTGACCACCGGACTGTCGCAACCATGGAGAAAAGTTCAAAATTTGCGTTCATCCTGAAAACACCTGCAGAAACAATCTGAAAGTACCAACAATATTGGGATTGCTTAAAACGGCAAATTAAGATAAAAGGCTTTAGTGAGGCGCCGTAATGCCATGCTATCAAGCCTGACAAGATTTGCGGGGGGGGGGGGGGTAAAACAATCATGGGAGGGAGGAATAATGATAGCACACGCTCTCATGCTCCCCCACATGTATTACTGGTCAACTTTAAAGAAAGCTGCACGGCGGTCATTGGCGCCTTGTCCAAAGGTTGACCACCCACTGCGCGCGACTGGTGCCCCGCACTAAACAGATTTTTCATCGATGAACGCGGGCGAATTGCTAGCCGCGCGAGACACCTCTGCAGCTTTCAGAGCCCCGTACACGGAAACGCATCGCAAGCGCTGCCAGACGCGTTCGCTGTTATGAGCGAAAAGTCCCTGTCGAGGATGTGAGAACTGCTGACGGATAGCTCTGGCAAGTTACTGTAAGAACGCGGCTAAATCTGACGATGGACAGCTCTGATAATCCACCGTAAGAGCGCAGCTGAGCTGCTGACGGACAGCTCTGGCAATTCACCGCAAGGACGGAACTGAACTGTTGACGGGGAGCTCCTACAATCCGCCATAAGAGCGCAGCTGGACTGCTGATGGACAGCTGTGACAATTCACTGTAAGAACGGAGCTGAACTGCTGACGGACAGCTCTGACAATCCACTGTAAGAACGGAGCTGAGCTGCTGTCGGGCAGCTCTGGCAATCCACCGTAAGAACGGAGCTGAGCTGCTGACGGCAGCTCTGGCAATCCACCGCAAGAACGGAGCTGAGCTGCTGTCGGGCAGCTCTGGCAATCTACCGTAAGAACGGAGCTGAACTGCTGACGGCAGCTCTGGCAATCTACCGTAAGAACGGAGCTGAGCTGCTGACGGCAGCTCTGGCAATCCACCGTAAGAACGGAGCTGAGCTGCTGTCGGGCAGCTCTGGCAATCTGCCGTAAGAACGGAGCTGAGCTGCTGACGGCAGCTCTGGCAATCCACCGTAAGAACGGAGCTGAGCTGCTGACGGCAGCTCTGGCAATCCACCGTAAGAACGGAGCTGAGCTGCTGACGGCAGCTCTGGCAATCCACCGTAAGAGCGCAGCTGGACTGCTGACGCAGAGCTCTGACAATCCATCGTAAGAGAGCAGCTTGACTGCTGACGGAAATCTCCGGCAATCCACTGTAAGAACGGAGCTGGCTAAGATTGCTCAAACGCCGAGTCGATCGCTCCACCTTCTACGCTGCCAGGTGCGCAGCTGGGGCAAGTCGATACGTAGGTAGGATGGGGCGTTGATCACTGAGCAGCCAAAACTAAGGGTGCGAGTGGGCTGAACAGTGAGCTTTTTAGGAGAGGTGGTACCATTATTGATGTGTGCGCTGTTTTTAGCGACGCTGCATTATTTTGCAGGTACGCGCGCTTGAATCCAGCAGTAAAGGCCATGGCATATTTCCCAAACAGTGAATACCGTGCTGATGCGCGATGATTATGATGCTGCTGCCCATACAGTTTAAGTGCAAACTTGATCCAATTAAGTGTGGGGGGAATTTAGGTAATGCAATTAAAACTGCCGGCGGAAATTTGCCGTTTCTATCCTACAACTAATGTCTTCACTCCAAGCTAGCCAAATCAAAAAGTTCCAGGACGTTCCAGACAGCCTGTCTAAAAAAATAGTCAAGCCGTTAGCATCTGGTTCATTTGGATGCGTTCAGAGACACATCCAAAGTGTATACACGAACCATTACAATGACAACCTTCTGACGTATCGAGATTAGATCCACCAAAACAGTTGACCCGTATTACGGTTTCTAAAACGCTGTATAAATCGTGATCGTGGAAATCACCTGCTCATCCGCAGGCAATGTGTTGCGATGCAAACACTTCATGAAATGTAGGTACCGGCTTGTAGAGAGACGCGTCAAGGCCAAAGCATGACATAAATACCACAGTGTAAGGGATAAGGCGCTGACAATTGCCCAGAGACACCATGTATGATTGAGGAGGACATGGCACCACTTCATT